TATGTCATATACGTCGAATCTATCTAATATATCCTATTTGTCGATCATGTCAAATATGTCATATATGTCAGATTTGTTGATCATGTCAGATATGTCATATATGTCAGATTTGTTAGATTTGTCGATCATCTGCGCCATGTAGGTCCTATCATATTTTATTCGTTCACAATACGATCGATTGATCCCTTTCTATTATGTTCTTAGTATTCTACTGTAAGTAAAAAATACTTTATTAAAAAATTATTTTTTTTTATTTCAAATCCCTTTATCATGTCTTATCAAATCAACTCAATTTACATCTTCGATAATGAATACAAAATGACACTCGATTTGATCACAATGAACATCGCATCTATCACACTGAGTAATCCTAACATCCTCCCACCTGAATCACTTCAACCCACATCACACTAATCACCTTTAGCTTTTAAATACAATTATCACACATTGGAGACCATTGATCATGCTGCAAAGACTCTATGATAAATTTCAAAATACCATCTTAAAACAATATTCTCAGATCGCTTGCATTTATTGCGAAAGGTTTCTATATCTAGAAAAGACTTCATAGATCTTTTACAACTTATCTATCACCTACCCATTACAATAACGTATTTTAAACATTACCTTATTATTCAACCCAAATACTAATCATATCCCTGAATTAAGAATACCTACCTACAAATTATGCAAGAAGTCTTCTATAAGATTCACATTCCTTTATCTGTCCTCTATATCATAAGAAATCCTTTCAGTTCCCTTGCATAAGAGGAAACATCTCTCATTAGTTTATCTACACTATTCGTTAGAAAGGATTCCAAATAGCAACCCTTTTTCAGAATATAGATGCTTGACTGGATCAATGAATTACTCTCGTAATGTTAGAATGCATGCGTTATATTCTAAAATCTTAGGCATATTCATGAATCAACCAGACGATATTAATCAATCAACTGCCTCAAGACATCTAGATGATGATCTGATTCATAATCAAATTCTAAAATACGCTGCAGCTTGGTTAGCGAATAATAATCTATACTTTCAATCTTATGCTAGCATATTAATATCACACGATAAATAAAATACAGTAAGAAATCAACTATTTCTAAAAGTAACACACCTTCCTACTGATCTTGATATTCTACCTGTAAACATTTGAGATATCATATTTCCAATTTCAACTTTTCAGATGAAGTTCACAATAAAGACTTCCATTATTCTAGATTAATGGCAGGATTTGTCTGTGAAAGTGACACATTACGTATTCCTATTGCTACATATGATCCTAATCTAGAACCATTAATTTTCCTGATCTATTTACAAATGGAAAAGGTTATTTTCACGATATATAGATCAATCAAACATTACAGATGATGACATAAAAGAAGAAACTTATGGTAAATATATCAGACAACAATTAATGAATTACGAATCACGGTGGAGACTTCATCATCATTGGCCTTCTTGGTCATACCTGCAATTAGAGAAACTGAGACATCATCAAAATACTCAATGACTCTTAAGACAAAATAATATCAATCCTAACATTAATAATCTTCCTACCGCAAAGCAATTATTCCAATCTAGTGAATATAATAGATATCTGAGATTCGATGAAACTAAAATGATTCCCCTGCCTATCTTTATATGCATAGGAGATACTTACTTTCATCATGAAAAAATCTTGTCTACTATCATTATTTATAACCTTGACTATGGCTGAAGGATGTTGAACTCATCTTCATAATATATTCATTAATACAGATAACAATGATCCATTTCCAACAAATAGACCTTATCATTATGCAAATTATTTTGTTCACAAATTTCAGTTTCTAAAAAAGGAATTGTATAAAAACCTGAACTTACAGGATTTGGCAAGATCACAGACTTTTTTGATTGAATTGAATTTCAAAATAGTGGTGCAGCATATACTCATAGCTATTATTGGACTGATAATCCTATTTCAGATATGATTGCAAATGATATCATTTGCTCAATAATATCTGATCCTCTATATGAGCCTGAATTAAAGATGGTACAGCAATTGATTTCAAATTTACAAAATGTTGCAACATAAGCTAAAATTAGTTGCAACATATATAGGTTAAAACTAATTGCAACGTAAGTTGCAACATTAAAAGTTGCAACATATTAATTACAGTTCCCATCTTTAGCCTGAATTATATGTTTCTGTGATAACTAATCAAATACATATTTGTAATCATAGATGTCAAGGTCCTGCCTCACAAGATCAGACGTGTAAAAAGGTTTTCTGCGTTCTTACAATCAAACAACTCATTATTAAGAAGGAGCCTCCCGTTATATTTATAAATGTTTGACTGATGCAAATTTATGGGTGGTCCCTTATCATCCTGCTATTCTCTTATTATGGAATGCTTATATGAAAATTCAGTATATAACTAATAGAGAGTTCGCTCGATATATGGTAAATATATCATTAAAAGAGAATTCTCTTATATATTTAACATACAAGATGGAGACATATTAAGAGAACATGTGATTGCACAAAGGCTCAGTTCTATAGAATTGATGTTTTTGCTTTTAGGTTATCAAATCTGTAATTCATCAAGTATTGTAAAATTCCTCACCACTGAACCTCTTAATACAAGATCTCATCTGATGCTTCCTGTCTATTTAATACATGAAGAAGATGAAAGCCCTTATTATGATGATACTATAACCAAGTATATGGCATGACCTATCTTTTCTGAATTTGATTCACTTACCTATCCTTAATATTTTGAAAGATACTTGATCTCTCCTTCAAGACCTTTAACTAATTGATCGATCTTTCATGATCAATTGAATAATTATATTGTAAAATGATCTAAAGAAATAATAGTAAAGTATTGTTTTCTTAAACTTCAAGATGTTGAATTATACTTCTATCAGAAACTTCTTCTTACCATATCTGCAAGAGATGAATCTGATTATAGAATAGGACCTAATGGAACATACCGACAAAATTTTTGTCATTATTTCCTGATTTTTTGATGACCTTACAAATTCAAACCATAAATAACTATCACTCACGTATCACTTATCTTAATAATCAATTTGCTGAAATGCTAGACAGATTACTACAATTATTATACCAAGAACTCCCAACAACAATTCAGGATATGGGGCCTTTGCAATAGAAAGGGGGGAAAATGCCAGAAAAATCAAAAATGAGTTAATGCTAAATTTGAACATATTTCAGCCTAAAAATCATATTTGGCATATAAAAGTAAAATTAATTTTTCCAGCAGTTTCCCTTCTTTTTATTGCAAAGGCCCCATATTATAAGATTATAATTGGAAAATATCAAGATGCTTTCTCATGTATTACCTGAAACTGCTATACTTGATCTACCAGAAGATCAGTATTATGTCTTATCAACAATCTCTTCATATCTTGACCCAAATGATGGTATTAAATGGGCATATTATTTTATTACAGGTTCTGCAGGAACGGGTAAATCATATATCATAATCCTGTTGATAAATACTCTTAAACAGAAAAAATCTAAATATCTTCTCTTGACTCCTACTGGTGTTACCACCCAAAATGTGAGAGGAAGAACCATCCATTTTGCATTGCAGATTATTTCAAATTATGATAATTTTATACACGTGCATTGATATAGAATTAAATGAATCATTAAAAGTAATTGATACTATCATTATTAAAGAAATTTCAATAGTTTCAACACAGCTCTTTGATTTTATATCTAATCTTTTTGCTAATCTCAACAATAATATTATCTTATTTGGTAGAATAAATGTGATTGTAGTAGGTGATCTTGCTTAATTATCACCTATTACAGGTCAACCTGTATTTTATTCAATGACCTGAACTTTATTCTATCCCTTATTCTTAATGATTCCACAACGTTAACAATCTGATGGCAGATTCTATCAAATATTATAAGAAGTTTGAATGGGTAATATATTTGCTGAAACATGGCAGATGCTCAGTCAAAAACATTATGAATTTTTATCATGTTCAGCAATCGATACATTTCTCAACGCTACTAATATTGTCAGCTTTAGAGAAAATGCTCAGCAAATTAATCGAATGATTTGTAACATATTATCTGTTTCTGAAGGAAAATTCTTTATATCACAAGCTGTAGATTCAGTAAATTTCACATCATGAGATTCTTGCTTTTCTGAAAGCTCTTTTAAAGTAAAACCAATCTACCTTCTTCTGTAAAATTATAACCAGATGCTCGTGTAATGTGTCTTAATAACTCTTTATTTGAGCAAGGAATTTATAATAGAACAGTTAGGATTATTATGGATTTAAACCTTATCAATCATTTTGTTTAAGTCACATTTCTGTAAGAGGTTTGATAATAGATACAACCATTTACAAACACTATCACAGAACTCAATATCCACTACAGAACTGCTTTGCTCTGACTGTTCACAAGACACAAGGCTTAACTTTACCAAATGTTTCTCTCGTTTTAGATCAAAATATCTTCTCTAAAGATGGGAACTGTAATTAATATGTTACAACTTTTAATGTTGCAACTTACGTTGCAATTAGTTTTAACATATATATGTTGCAACTAATTTTAAATTTGAAATCAATTGCTGTACCATCTTTAATCTTCTTGGTAGGTCAAGCCTATATCACCCTTAGCAGATGTTTTACCTGGGATAATATTGAGATTTCTCATCTTGATAGGTCAGCATTTATGACAGATCAGGATATGATCCTAGAATATCAAAGATTACATAACATTTCACGATTAAATCCTTATAATTTTCAATAATAAAATTCTCATTTTTTAAATAAAAATAATAAAGCATTACATTATCTAACTGAAACCTTTTTGAATATTAAGATCTTTTTATTAGATAGATTGTTTAACTAAAATCATAATTTGCTTATCATAATCTTTAATTTAATTATAAAAAATATATATCATATCATATACTAAAAATCTTCAAATCAATCATTTATGCTTTTTTTATTAAAAAAATTATAAAAAAATAATCTACTCATCATTCTCTGTATGACAAATTATGTTTGTATGACGCATTGCGCTTCTGATATGCATTTAAATATGTGGTGGATTTTTATTAGAAAACATTGATCTACTCATCATGATCAACATTCCCTGTATGACAAATTACACTTGTACGACGCATTGCGCTTGTGTAATGTGGTGGATACTAGGAAAAAAGCTAGTTTATTGTATATATTGATAGCCAACAATCATATGAAAATGAAAATTTTACGAAAAAATTTAAAATATTAGTTTCAAACGTCAAAAAAATAAGATGTGCCTTTCAATTTCGGAGCAGTCTTACTAAGAATAGACATACATGACTCTGAAATTCAGAGATGGCCTTTTATACTAAGATAATAATAATACTAATTTATTAAAATCAAATAAATCAAATCAAAATCTTTGATTTGAAAAATAAAACACGTGTATAACAAAAAGATAGTCTGTTTTCAAATGGAATAGTAACGCTTTTAAATGAATACTCTCATAATAGTTCTAATAGTAAATTCATAAATTTTAAACCTATGTTAAAGCTATTTTCCGTAATAGTTGATTATTTTCACATGATATTCATATAATATCGGTCATGTGAATTTAGAACAATATTAATTATATTTTTCCTATTATTTCTTGATTGAAGACACATATTAATCAATATCTAAAAAAAAAATGATTCGTAACCAATTTCTATTTTTCCCATCTGCAACAAAATCCACAAATGCAACCTCACTCATCTCTTTAAAAATTTTATCTACCACTTCATCTTCTCCATTAAAAAATTTTCGAAATAATAACGGTTTTATAAGAAAATTTTCTACAATGACAGGATTTTATGACCTTCAATCTTCTGACATTAATAAAAAACCTTTCAGCTTTGCTGAATGGAAAGGAAAAGTTGTATTGCTTGTTAATGTAGCATCAAAATGTGGATTTACCCCACAATATTCGGGACTTGAAAGCCTTTATAATAAATATAAAGATGAAGGTTTAGTCATTGCCGGTTTCCCTTGTAATCAATTTGGTTCTCAAGAGCCAGGAACCGAAGGAGGTAAAAGTCTTTTATTTTATTTATTTTATTTTACATTTTTTCAAAGAATAATTTTCACCAATGATGATAAATTTATAAAACATTAGAAATCGTTCAATTTTGTTCTACCAAATATAATGTTACTTTCCCTCTATTTGCAAAAATTGATGTTAACGGCGCTAACGCATCATCCGTTTACGAATATTTGAAATCTCAACAATCTGGCGATATCAAATGGAACTTTGAGAAATTTTTGATTGATAAAAACGGCAACGTTGTTAAAAGGTTTCCTTCTAATGTTAAGGTTGGTAAAACAAAAAAAAAAAGTTTTTTATGCAACCTTTTTATTTATGAAATTTTTTTTTTTTTTTTTTTTGTTCTTATATAGCCCGAAGATCTTGAAAAAGAAGTTAATCCCTTGTTGAAATCGAACCTTTAAATTATTTTTAATTATCAGATTTTTTTTTTATCTAAGCCACCAAATAAATAATTTTGTGTCGTCATCAAGATTGATTTTATCTATAATAAAAAAAATTTTTTTATTCCTTTAAAATTTGTTAATATATAACGGTCTTCACTACCATGTTTACCTCAAGCATTTTAAAATCTACCTTGTTAAACCGTTCAAATGTAATACTTCGTTATTCATATGGAGCGGGTAGTCGTAATTTGAATACTCAACAAGTTACCGAGAAAGTTAGCAAGGCCGCTAAAGGTGTTCAAGGCACCTTGTCTAAACTTGCAGGTATTTTATTCACTTTTAGTGGGTTTAACGACTTTAAATTAATAATAGGTTAACACCTCATTTATTTAAAAGGTTATCAAAGACCAATTGTATACAATGTAAAGGTACTTAAAGAAATTGCTAAAGAAGTTTATAAAAAAGAAAGCCTTGGTCCACCAAACGGTGCTCAATTTTCTGAGGCTTGGGAAAACCTTAAAGCTATTCGATTGCAAAGTATTAAAAATTTAAGTCCAGGAGATTTTATACAAATTGGTATACGTAGTGTTGAAGTAGCAGGATTCTTTGCTATAGGTGAAATCATCGGTAAATTTAGTATAGTTGGATATAATGTTTAAATAGAAAAAAAATAAAAAGCATTCCGAATAAGAAACAAAAATTATTTTATTTTTTTATTTTATTTTATTTTTTATTTTTTCCGTTAAATTAAATTAATTCATTCAATAAAACGACCAAAATGTAGTTTAGTTAAACATTATCGTCCGTTAAAATACTCTCGGAATTTTGTGATGTATCTTGAGAAATTTTTTGCTTTTTAATTAAACAGATTATTAGAAAAGAAATATGAGTAAAAAAAAAAGAGCGAATTTATTAAAATTTAAATTTTTTTAACGAACCAATTCTTGACGTATATACATTTCTTTACTTTTATCTAATCTTCGATTTATCATTACACCTGCTCCAACAAAAGAGTATACTAAAGGGAGAGCAAATAATTAAGTACTATTGTAACTAGTTGAAATATTCATTTTTACGAATTACCTGCAATACCAGCCAATGCTATAACTAAAGTTCTATGAGCAATATCTGAAGCTTTATTTCCAAGAGACATTATTATTAATTTTTTCTTTGAATATGATTTGATTGATCAGGAAAAAAAAACCCCCAACACTTTTATGACTAAATAATATCACGTGAACGAAAAAAATTTAAAAACACATTTTATTAGTGTAACATTTATCTATTAGTTATATTGGGGCTAATTAACCAAGTAAACTTTATGATGATCATATTTTATAACATATGTTAATTGTAAAAATGATATGCCATCGGAACATAAATCACGTGAATGATCTTCATCTGGTTACATAATGCACAAGGCGCGTTTTACAAAATCAAAATTTATTTAATTTATAATAAATACAATTTTATATGTGTTATAAAAAGTGAAATGAACATTTTTTTGACACTTATGGTTTCTTACCAACCATTAAGTACATTGGAGTGAAAAGTCCTAACCTACCGCCTTCTACTAAACAATCACCGGCTGTTTCAAGAACACGTTGCGTTTGTAAAGAACCTGTTGGTGCAAAACCAACTTTTTCTAATCCTCCCACCTAATATATCAAAAGTTATATTAAAAAGAATATTCATATATATTAAATTATAAACATTAAATTAATTTATATATTTACCAAGGCCCTAGTACAAAATTTGCCAAAATGTGTCATTCGGAAAACGGTAAAGAAATCCCAAATACATTGAGCCTTTCCCATATTTCCTTCTAATGGATAGTACCAAGAAGTTCTGTCATCATTCAAAGCTAAATCGTCAGCAGAAATAACTTCAAATCCAACATTTTTCAAAGCTTGTAATGCCACTGAAGTTTTAAACAATTCGGGAATTCCATCAGCGTACTGAACAAACGAAATAAAAAATAATGAGCGTCACGTGTTACATAAAATACAACATATGAGAATTATTAAAAGAATTAAAAATTACCTCGATTCCACGAACAATTCTTCTATGATCAATATTAGTTGGATCAAACTTATCAGTCACGCACCATTCATAAAAAGCAAAAGTACCTCCGGGTTTTAAAACGCGAAATACTTCGCCATAAACCCCTTCCAACTTTGGAGCATGACACGTTGCTTCAATGGCATAAACTGCATCAAAGGTATTATCTTCGAATGGCATTTCCATGAAATCACCCTTGATAAAGTTTGTTTTATTTTCTAATCCTACTTTAACTGCTGATTTCATTGCACGATAAATTTGATAATCATTATTATTTAAACCAGTAATATGAGCTCCAGTGAATTGACAAATTTCACGCGCAGGTCCGCCTTATAAGCGTGAAAAAATGGTTAGAACTATAAAATAAATAACAATTTTTTTTTTTTAACGATATTTACCAACACCACAACCAACATCCAAAACTTTCATTCCTGGCTTAATATTTAATTGCATGGCCAAATAATGCTCATGACGCGCAATGGCCTGATAAAAGGTTTCTCCGGGATAAAATCGGCAGAAATGAAAGCTTTCACCCCAACCATACTATGAATTAATGATTGTAAAAACTTTAATCATAAATTGTTATTATGATATATTTTGTTAAAGTTCTATTCATAGAATACCTCATAAAAATCAGTGGCGATGTTGTAATAAGAATTGGTCATATTAGTATAATTAGAGCGTCTAGCTTCTTTTTCTTCTTCAGTTTCCGACATGGGGTCCTTATCGACCCAGTATCTCATATAATTATTAACAACATTCGAAAAGGCTTCTTTATCCTTTGAAGTAATTTTCGCAAGTAAACCACCACTTTCAGCTTCATGTTTATGTAAAGCCTTCGAGAATGCTAAATCTTCTTCAAAGGATTGTGACGAAGTCATTTTGTTGTTAGATAATGGAATTGAGATAATTTTTTTAAAAATGGGTCTAAAAAGGGAGAATAATCCCATATATATATAAGTTTATTTATATTTATATATGTATATTATACAACAATAGAACACCATTTTTTTTTTTTTTGTTGGGAAGAACAACATATTAAGGGGAAAATATTGACATTCATTTATGATTATCTTCAAACTTTGTGTTTTATTTTCATCTGTTAGTGTAACATTCCAAGTTCATCACATTTTGTGTCACAGTGTCACATACCTTATTGGTATAAAATAACGGAAAAAAAAAAAGGGAAAAAAAAGAGATTAGACGAATATTTTTGAATTCAAAATTAATGACAAAATGGTTGAGTATAAAGAATTATTGTAAATTTTTTTTTTTGCTTCTTTTTGTTTAAAATGTTTCGCGCTCGAAACTGATCGTCTTTATAGTCTAGTGTAGGTACTTCTTCACAAAAAAAAGTTGTGACAAGAGATGAATGGGTTAAGAAATTATCGGATGTTAAAATCGACAAAAAGTAAGTTACAAAACTTACATTTAATACATCATAAACGTTTCATGATTTACATTGATAAACAAAATTTCCTTTTTTATAGTGATCTTAATAAACTCATAATGAATTATTTCGTAATTGAAGGGTATAAGGATGCTGCGGAAACATTTAGTCAAGAATGCGGGTTATCACCGAGCATTGATGTTGATTCTATTCAAGATCGTATGAATATTCGGAATGCCATACAAAATGGGAATGTTGAAGAGGCAATTGAACGCGTAAATGATTTAAATCCAGAGGTAAAGGATTTTTTTTTGATTTCGGTTTCATGATTAAGAAAACAATGATTAGAAAGTGTTCATGCACCACTCTGAGACTTCTTTAAGTCTATGTTGATATTCATACACCATTCAGTCTTCAATATGAGTTTAATTATTACACAAATTAGTAAAATATTTAAGAATCAAAGCTACTAATTAATATTTTTTGTCCCAATTTTCTTGAACTAGATATTGGATACAAATCCAAAATTATATTTTCATCTCCAACAACAACGATTGATAGAATATATTCGTGAAGGGAAAATAGCGGAAGCTTTAGAATTTGCTCAAGATGAGTTGGCACCTCGTGGTGAAGAAAACGTAAACTAATTGCATTTTTTTTTTTTTTTTTTTAAAAAAAAAAGTAAATTCATTAATAATATCATGGTATGTTGATTTTTATAAAGCCTGAATTTTTAGAAGAATTGGAACGTACAATGGCTTTATTGGCATTTGATGATACGAACGTTTCTCCGGTTGGCGATTTACTTCATCCTTCGCAGCGTCAACGAACAGCAAGCGAATTAAATGCTGCAATCCTAACTTCACAAAGTCAAGAAAAAGATCCTAAATTACCAAACATGCTAAAAATGTTGGTTTGGGCTCAGGATGAATTGGAAGAAAAAATTTTATTTCCTAAACTGAAAAATCTCATTACCGCGGAATTGGTCGAAAGCAACAATACTACAGTAAATTCGGAAAGCAATTTTTTGTCTACATAATGGGAAATAATTTGAAAAAAATAGGACTTTTCTTTTCCTTTCTTTCTTTTTTCTTCCTTTGCTTTATTTATTTTATAAGTTTACATTTTAAGGTAGCCTTGTCAACGATATTATATATGATAGAGTTACCGAATACGACACGTATTAACTCGGAATGAATCATTTCGTTATCGATTTGCGATAGCTGAAGGTTTTCGCTTTGAGAATTCCAAAAAAAAAAATATTCTTACTGAAATTTATAAAATTGAAAATATGGTTTGATCCAAGGGTAATATTTTATTCATAATAGTAATATTTAGCCATTTATATGCATATTATTTGGCATGCATTTCATTACCCTTTTTGCAATATATATATACTAGAAATATTATAATTAAATAATAAATTTAAAAAACATTAATAACTAATCCCACTTAATCACGTCCGGATGCGTTTTATAAGTTTCATACGCTTCGCGGTTGAAAAAAGAAATCTCTGTCTCATTTTCTTTTTTTTTCGTTATATGTATGTTTTTTTTAAAAAAAATTTAACAAACTTTCTGTAGACGTAAATTAAAAATAAAATGTAAATGTAAAAGATCGATCATACCGATACCACATGAAATCAAGGTTGAATCATCATTTAAAAAAACCGAATGTGTGTCATCATCAATGTTTATCACCAAGTTCTGAGTCTAATAATGGAGAAATTAATCTATCGTTTGAAAAAAAAAAAATTTTTTTTTATTTTTAAAAAAAATTACTTTAGTTCCATGCGCTTTTGTGTAAAGTTTTAGCGTGTCTTTCATGAAGAAATGATTAACATAGTAATAGCTCATTTAATACGAGTAAAACAATAACTGGATCATAAAAAAGAATTTACCATAATTCACATTACGAAAAGCCTTTAATCCAGATGTAGTTTTTATCCCTATTAAACAATTCATCGATTAATAAAATTCTATTATTTAAAAAAAAGAATGAACGAAATTAAAAATTTAATAAATTAAATACTTTCTCGAACGAGTTCCTTTAGTTCTATGATAGTAGTTGTTTCTAAATTTACATGCTGAAAAACAAGGTTCTTAATAGTACGATATTCAAAATTTTTTATGAGCCGAATGGTTATCGTTGAAGAAGTCGTTGGGTTAAGTGTGTTAGTTAACGCGTCGCTCATTATCTTAATTTATAAACAGGTATCAAATTAGTTAATAGTCTTCTTTTTTGATCGGATATTTTTAAAGGGTAGATCGTCGATCAAATGGCTCGGATTTCATCATTTCGAATCTTGCCATGACCTATTTATATGGTTTTTTGAAATCAATTCGAACTTTCACACCTGTACTTAATGCGTCACCTGCACGTCTTACAGTTTGCTTATTGAACAATTATTTTTCAACATTAAAGCCAAAGACAATGGCTAACAATAAAGACGCGTTTGAAGTAAAAGCCGTTAATACAACCGAAAGATTAGCAAAGCTTAGATCTTTATTTAAAGAAGAAAAATATAATATAACTGCGTAGTATGTACAAATACAATTTTAACCTCTTCAAAATTTTCTTTCAATAACTTTAAATTTAAATTTTTTTTAATACACTTCCCTTTTTTTCAAGTGTAATTCCTTCAGAAGACGCTCACCAGGTAGAAAATTCATTAATTCAAAAAAAAAAAATTTTTTTTAATTTTATAAAGGCGCGCCCTATTGTAAAGTAATAATATTTTTTTGATGATTGATTATTTTGACTCAGAGTGAATATACTGCAAGTTGTGATGCTCGAAGGGCATTTATTTCCGGTTTCACGGGCTCTGCTGGTTAGTTCAATTTCATCAAATCCGTTGTATTGTTTTTTTGAAACGAGCTTAACCCTCCGATTCATAATTGTAACAGGTTTGGCAGTTGTATCAACGGATTCTGCTGCGCTTTTTACAGATGGTCGATATTTTTTGCAGGCCAGTAAGCAATTGGACCACAATTGGGAATTGATGAAACAAGGTTTACCTGATATTCCAACGTGGCAAGAATTTTTAGTACAAGTAATTTATTAATTTATTCTCTATTTTGTAATGAAATTCTATCGATTTATTATAATAATTTATTTATTATTATTATTATTATTTTTAACAGAACCTTCCTAAAGGTTCGAAAATCGGAATCGATCCAACATTGATTATAGCGAGTGAGTAGCATTTCACTTCATTGTGAAGTAAAATTTTAATTAATTATATAATTGATCTTACAAATCAATGACTAGACGATGCAAAGGCTTTGAAAGAATCACTTGGAAAAATTGGGTCATCGTTAGTCTCTATTGAAGATAATTTAGTTGATTTGGTATGGGGAGATGAAAGACCATCTCGTCCATGTAATCCGGTAAATGTTTTGTCATTGAAATATACTGGTAAGAACGCGTTATGACATGAAACAAGATATTTTAATGTAAAATGTACTTATAACTTAATTTGTTATATTATAGGGCGTTCGCATACTGATAAAATTACGAAACTTCGAGAAGAACTTGCCAAAGAAAATTTCTATGGTTTTGTTGTATCCGCTCTTGATGAGATTGCTTGTTTGTAGATTTATTTCATTTTCTCCGCCTTCTATACCCCAAAAGTGAGCAAATGGTGATGAAATTATATATATATATATTTATTTATTTTTTTGAAAATTAGGGCTTTTTAACCTCCGTGGTTCTGACGTTCAATATAATCCCGTTTTTTTTGCTTATGCTCTTATCACCAAGAACGATATCGTTCTTTATATCGACGAGAATAAATTATCCGATGAAGTCAAGGAACATTTGAGATCCAGTATTCGATTTCGTCCTTATAATTCTGTTTTCGAAGATCTACGTAATTTAAACGACAAATTTAAGAGCGATAATCAGGTTTATATACTACCATTTTCTTAATGTCTTATTTATTGGTATATTATTTTCAAAGTTCGAGTTTAATATATTATTTTAAATATCATTTCATATCGCATAGAAACTTCTTATCAGTACCCGTACAAGTTTTGCTCTGGCCTTGGCTTCAGGCGAAGTGGGTATTTCTTGTTAAGATAATTACATATAGCATTTATCATTGGTATAATTTTAAAAAAGTGATGATTTTTTAGGATAATATAGAATCAGCTCGTTCTCCTATTCTGGACGCAAAAGCAATTAAAAATGAAGTGGAATTAGAGGGCATAAGGCAATGTCATCTCAGAGATGCAGCAGCAGTGGTATATATAATTTATTTTATGAAGATATTCAAAAACAGATTCAATTAAATTATTTATTTATTTATTTTTTTTTAAATAAAAAAAAAAAGATTAATTATTTCTCATGGCTTGAAGAACAATTTGCCACCGGAAAGGAATTAAGTGAAATCGATGGAGCAGATCGTTTGGAGAAATATAGAGCGTATGGAAAGATTATTAATAATTAAATACTAAAATACGAATATATTATTATTGTTAAGATTATTGACAATGATTTACGATAATAGAGAACAAGAAGATTTTGTTGGCCTATCCTTTGATACTATTTCGGCATCAGGACCTAATGGGGCAATTATACATTATAAACCAGAACCAGAAACATGTGCTAAAATTGATCCAAAATTACTTTATCTATGTGATTCTGGAGGTCAATACAAGTAAATTTTTTTAAACACCTTTATACCTTATTTTATTTTATATATATATAAATATGAATGTATATATACTTGGTTTATTTTACTTATTTAATAATTTAGAAATGGTACTACTGATGTAACGCGTACCATACATTTTGGTACACCAACCGCACAAGAAAAGTGCGCATTCACACGAGTCCTCCAAGGACATATTGCGATCGACCGCGCAATATTTCCGAAAGGCACTACAGGTAAACCAGAATATGGACCAAATATACTTTGCAACTATTTGTGTCTCACCATTTTCTCAAGATTTTTTTTAATTAAATTTTAAATTTTAGGATATTTGTTGGATGTTTTTGCAAGAGCACCGCTCTGGAGAGATGGTTTGGATTTTCGTCACGGTACGGGACATGGTGTTGGATGTTATTTGAATGTACACGAGGGTAAGAAATTTTTTCATATAAAAATTATATAACTTATATTATACGAGAACAAATGAATGATTAATCATTATGGATTGATTAGGTCCTCATGGAATTGGAACCAGAATTGCATACAATGATGTACCCCTTCAAGCAGGTATGACAGTTACCAATGAGCCAGGATATTATGAGGATGGCAAGTTCGGTATTCGAATTGAAACTCTTGTATTTGTTCGAGAGGTGGAAACACCACATAATTTTGATGATCGTGGATTTTTGGGATTTGAACATATTACATTGGTTCCTATTCAGACAAAACTTATTGATGCCTCTCTTTTGAACCCTATTGAACTCAAATGGATTAATGATTATAATGCTGAATGTCTTCAAAAAGTATCACCTTTCTTAAAACAAAATAGTCCAGGAATTCGATGGTTAGAAAGAGAAGCTGCCGCTTTAAAGTGAATTTATTTCATCCCAAAAATATCGTGGGTTTAAATTTTAAGTTTATGTTTTGAGTCAATATATGTACATATATATATCTATTATTTAAAAACATTTGATATAATATATATAGTATGCATTATTTAATCTACCGATTTCATTAATGAACTTTTATTATCAAATTGATTGTTAAATTTGTATTCTCGGAGCAGATGATTTTTATACCAACAAAAAGCTTTATCTAAATCTTGATCAGTTCCTGTTATATTTTTCCATAATAAATACCAAGATTATGTTATCCACAAATACTTATTTCTACGGCTTTTTGTACTTTCTTCAATATTTGGGAATTTCATACAAGAAATAAATATATTTATTAAGAAATTTGGAATTACCTGAATTATTAACTGTCGGATGAACCCGATGATGACGATGACGACGAATCTGATGACGAATCTGAATCTGATGAACTACTAATATCCTCTCGTTTACGTTTTGCCGCCAATATTTGTTTTTGTGCATTCTAATTGTGGGAAAATAAAAGTGTTTTTTAGTCTTAACTAATAATAATAAAAAATTGGCGTATCAATGTTTCCTTACCGCTAAATATTCTCTTAATCCTTCAGTTAATTGACCTAATCCAATACTTGTAAAATAGTTGATTGCAAAACGTATATTCCGTGGATGATCCTTTGGAAAAAGACCCTGAAAATATATACTCATTGTATCGTCATTTAGCCTCGTTTTAAGTTTCGGTATACCTAAAGTGCCACTAAGTTCTTCAAATAATATTTTCACAAAAATTCGAGAACTTGACGTAGTGTCATCTTCTGTCAATTTAATCACACTAAAAACTTCCCAAGAAATAGCATCTGATGCTAAAAGATGTCCAAAGTATTTTGATACGTTTCTTAATCGATTTGTTTCATATCGATGGATCGTTTCGTAATATTGAATAAAACATTGCTCAAAAGCTTTGGCCCAAACCGAATTTATCTTTGCAAGTCGTTCTCCTATGAGGCCGAAAAATTTTTCATAAGTACGTTCTTGAGAACAACACTCAATTATCATGTTGCAAAGTTCAGTCTATAATATAAAGAATGAATTAGGTAAAAAGAAAAACAAATAGATGATAAATAAAAGATTATACCTCTTGTCCTTCTTGAATATTTAGTTTCATTAGTTTGTGACAACATTCTTCAAAGTCAAGACTTGACTTGATAGTCAAGTATATCGTCTTTCGCAACGTTATCAAATTGGTATTTGTTAAATCGTGAATTTCCATTTTCTTGGCCAATTCTTCTTCATCCTCATCATTTTCGTTATCATCACTGCTTTCAGAACCTGATTCTTCACCACTTTCTTCAGAATCATCCCCCAATATTTGTGACTTTATTTCCTTGTATTTTTCCTCATTTTCTAAATAATTTGGATCGAAGTTGAAGATGCCTATCATGAAAATTATAAGATTAGCATATTGAAAATATTTTTTTTTAAAAAAAAAAAGTAAGATATTAATGAACAAATAAATAAAACTATATATATACCAAGGGTTTCTTCAACATCTAATTCATCATCAATTGATATGTGATGAGTAATTTGATCATCCTCCTTGACCAAATCTAATTCTGAAGGAATTGGTGGATTGTCCTTAAATTTATCTTTCCTTACTTGAAACAGCACCTCGATCATATATTGAACTCTTTTTTCTACATTTGCTTCATGTAGAATAGCCCTAAATCGATCAAAGACATCATTATTCGCTTTTGGTGAGACATCAGCTAAGTGAGCACCACATTCACGCATAAATCCAACGGCGACTTCTACCGAATCACTAGTAGGATGTTCAAGCAACAGAACTAGGACTTGTAATGCGACGATTTCGTGAGATACCAGATGGTTGCATAAATGTGCAATAAAAGATGTTGTGGCTAAACATGTTGTCTACATTCGGATTGTTATAAATTTAATTACAACTCTTAAAAAAATATATAACAAAAACTATGTCAAAAAATGAATTAAAATAAAAACCTTATCATTACGCCTATATGCCTTACGGAATTGAACAATTAATCTAGTAAGTACTAATTCGCCAATTTGTGGTAACTTAGTATTGATAATAGCCACTAACGCGGCATATACAGGTGTAAACGGTAGAGATGCCGATTGTGCTTTCATGATCGATCTAGCAAAAAGACCTCTACCACGAATTAGATTTTCATTAAACAGCTCGAAAACAATGTTCTTTATATTTGAAGTGTTGACCTAGATTTGAGGATTTGATTAATTTTAATAGATCAATGAGATCAACAGACAAAAATTAAAATACCTTATTAATGAGCCCATTTATACTTTTTTTCAGTGCTTCCCAAGTGATTCTTTGATATTCTTTACTAGCTTTATCAGTTATTGTCTGTTGCATCTGCCGTAACCGAGCAGGTGGAATGTATACACCACCTGCTCTCGTATTAATAAGTACTTTTTGTTCGGATTCTATGAACGACATCTTGTATTATATGTTAACTTTCGTAAAAATAAGGGTAGAAATAAAAATCAGGTGTAATCATTTTTCTGAGATAAAAAATGTTATTAAGGGCTTGCTTTGTGTTACAATAAGAAAATGACACCACAAAAAATTTTTGTGAATTCTATTCGTCGATGTAAAACCTTTGTTATTTTTTTATATTATTTATACTAATTACATTCTCTTAATAAAAAAAAATGATCTAATTATATTTTTTTCAAATCCAAAATAGATTTAAAGAAATAATCTTTAAATTTTATTGATTTTTATTAAATTATATAATAATTTTAAAGATTTTTAAGCATTAAAAATTGATTAATTTAATAATTCTAGCAATAATAATTCTTATATTTAATAATAAATCTGAATTATATAAGAAATAATAATTAAATTTTTGATTTTTCATAGTGATATTTTAAAATTCATGAAAATATATCAAATGCAATTCATTTTAATATAACATGATATTAATTATTATTATATTAATTATTTATGTTACCACAAAATATAAAAAATAAAATTTTACATATTTAAAATTTAAAAGTTACATTATTAAATGATAATTATTAAAGATATTAAAAATGCAAAATTTCTTTTGAATATTATTAGAAGAAAATTTAGCAGGTATAAAATTATTAGTATTCAATGGAATATTTGTTGAATTGAAAGATCTTGATTAAAGATGGGAACTGTAATTAATATGTTGCAACTTTTAATGTTGCAACTTATGTTGCAATTAGTTTTAACCTATATATGTTGCAACTTATAATGTTGCAACATATGTTGCAACTAATTTTAGCTTATGTTGCAACATTTTGTAAATTTGAAATCAATTGCTGTACCATCTTTAATCTTGATAATTCTATTGTATTAATTAAAGTATTCATAATAGCAAGATATTGCTTTTTATTTACTTTTTTATATATATGAATTTCTTAAATACTTTTGTGACTTTTTACTTTTATTATATCATCTTTTGATATATTAGCATTTTGAAGAATTTGAGCAATTGTTTTGCATTTAGAATATTTTGTTAAAAGATTAAATGAAAAATTTACTTTAACAATTTTCTAATATCTTTCAAAAATTCTTTATTTTATTGATATTACAGTATGTTTTTATATAAAATATCACTTTTACATCAAAGTAAATTATCTTGTAAATAAAAATTTTCAGATACATTATTAAAACATTTTGAAAAATATTTATTAATATCGATAATTATTTTAGAATATAAAAAAAGATAAATATCCTGTATAGCATTAATTTCTTGAATTGAAAAATTTTTTAATAAATAATGATTAATAATTATTTCACTATTTTTACTTTATATTCATCTAAATTTTTCTTTTTAACCATTTGTACAATATATTCACAAATTTGTTATTTCAGATATTTATATTTCAATGATATAATATAATTATACTTTTTACACAATTCTTCAAATTGTATGATCTAATTTGAGTTAACTTTTCAGTATTTCTAACAATAGTTTTATTTTGATAAAAATTAAGTTTTTCTTAAATATCAGAAGTTGATTGATTTGAAATATCAGAAGATATAGTATTATTTTGAAGTAAAGTAGAAATTGAAACTTCAGAAGTCTTATTAAAAAAGTAAAAAATACTTATACTAGTAAAAATAGGTTTGAAGTATTTTTGTTATTTTTTATTAACACATTATTGAAACATTTTTCAATTTTTTTTAGCTACAGTTAAAAAATTTGGATAAGAAAAAAAATGAGTAAAAAGTAAGGATTAGTTATTTTATAATGAAAAAAGTTTAACTTTGTAATAAAATAAACATTTATATTTTCATAGAAAATATGGTGAATAAAACTTTTTTTAAATCATAAGTTGCTAGTCTTCAAAGGATAAAAAAGTTAAAATTTAGGTATTAATAATTATTTAAAGAAAATATTAAAGGTTAGATTTATTTATTAAATAAAATTAATTACAGTAATTCATAATTTCTTTAATTATTAATAATTTTAAAATAATATTATATTAATTAAACTATTTTCTTACTAAAATTATTATTTTTAAAAAAAAATATTATATTTTAAATCTGTAATTAATCAACTCATAAACAATATTGATAGGCAAAAAAAAGAAAATATCTAAAAAAATATAGTTATTTAATGATTTAATAAAGATTTTGAAAAAACATTAATTAAGAAAAATAAAAAATAAAAATTTTCTAACATAAATATCAATATAAACCATATATCAATATTATATTATGTGTTTTTTTTGCAAATTTCTTCTATAAAGCTTGAATCATGAAAACCATTATAATAACAAATAATATTATTTATTTAATAAATTAATCTATATCGTATTCGATATATTAAGAGAATCCTTATTCACTAGATCAATTATAAATATACATATCGAGTAAATTTCATGCCACGTGACTTAGTACATCAAGAGTTAAGATAAAACCCTTCTATCTCTTATATTCCTTTTAATCCTTTCAGCTAATTCTCTATTTTTTTTTGAAACAAAATATGTTGCTTTGCCACGTTTTCCGGCTCTAGCAGTCCTACCAACTCTGTGAAGAAAATCCACGACAGTGGTGGGGAAATCAAAAAGTATCACGTGATCTACAAAAGTAGTATCAAAACCTCTGGAAGCAAGATCCGTACATACAAGAATTTTAGCGTGAGGTTCTTGATTCCTGAAAGATTCTAATTTAGTTGTTCTATCGTCTATGTCCCCATATAATCCTATCACTGGTAAGCTTTTTGAGTGAAGGAACGCTTCTAATCGCTCGGCCGTTAGTTTTCTGTTGCAAAAGATCATAGTTGATGCAGATGTAGAATAGGTTTTCAAGATTTGTATGATAGCTTCAAGTTTATTATAATTAAATTGTTTTAAATCAATAAAATTATGTGAAAGATTTGGTAAAGATTTATGTAAAGAATGTGAAGTTAGACGTTTCATAAACGGTAACTCTTTGCTCAACATTTCATTAACAGATTTCGGTAAAGTTGCTGTTACAACTATAACTTGAAATGGACGATTATCTTGTGTTAAGTTTGAACGTTTAACTTGTTCAATAATTGAGCTGACATCTTCATCAAATCCTTTATTAAACATCGTATCGGCTTCATCGATAACCAAATAACGAGTTTCTGACAATGAAATATTCTTCCCTTCAATGTATTCTATTAATCCTGCTGGAGTCGCTACAACTAAATCCGTTGGCATTAAAAGTGTTTTACGTACAAATCGACGATTTTTATGAGAAGTGATTGCTATCGGTCGAAATTTCGCAAAATGAGACAAGTGCTTGGAAACTGAGAGAACTTGTTCAACTAATTCCCTTGAAGGCAAAAGAACGATTGCCCTAGGTCGATTTAATTGTCTTATAGATGATTTAAATAATGATTGCTCGGATTCTTTTTCCTCGTGAGATGATGATGTTAATTCTTCGTTTCCATCAATAGTCGATATTGAAGAAAATGGTGGTGCTTTTATCTCTTGATCTTTAATTTTATTAATGATCGGTAACAGATAAGCTAAAGTTTTGCCGCTACCGGTTTCAGCTGCACATAAAATATGTTGTCTTTCAGAATTTAAAATTTCTGGTATAGTTAAGGCTTGAATTTCTGTCGGTCGTAAAGGCTTTACTTCTTTTAATGGTCCTTGTCTAATTGCTTCTAACACCTCTTGTCTTAAATTCATCGATTCAAATGTTAAATGCTCAAGGCGAAGAGAGTCCAATTTAGTAGATTTTCCTTTTAGATTTAATAACTCTGAATTTTCTTGTCGTGAAGTTTTTTGTTTATCTGACAAATCATTTTTGGTGGTTTGTGAAGCGTTCTGTTGTTTATTTTCGGTTAATTTCACATCACTTTCAATTGGTAATAATTTAAATTTTGCTGGAATATAACCACGCGTTTTTTTTGACACTGGAATTGAAGGTTTAATATATTTATTTGTCGGTATTTGTCGTTTTTGTTGCCTTGTCGAATTTAAAGATTTTAAATTATTATTAATTTTGAATCGATCTACGCTAAAACTGCCGCTAGGTGTATTGCTTCCATGATATCTTGGTAAGGTTTGTTTTGTGGGTGGTTGTCGCGTTTTTTGAGTTATTGAATTTCGCTTACGAAATACTGCTCTTTTTGAATATAATAATAATTTATCAGAGGTATGAAATGTACGTTTTGAACATAATGAGCTGATAAATAGATTAGAATTTATATGTAAATTTATATAGAATTGGCTATTTGATAAGAAAAACATTTTTTTAACCGAAATTTCAAATTTTTTTTTTTTTTTTAGATAATCTCTTCATACAACAAGAAACTAAATTAAGTAATTTGATAAAATTTTTGGAATTTCAGAATTTTAGTTACACAATTACTCAATTTTGGGATTTCACTAGCTCAGTAGTTAACTAAAACATAAGCGAGATATTGCGAATCAGAATCCTTATCGTGACTTATACGATATCACTAGCACGTTAATCAAACTTTCTAGATTTTTATAATAATGAAACTTTCTTCTTTCGAAGAGAAATATGGAACTTATGGAATAATAAAAATTTTTTGACGTGTGGATTGGGCTAAGAACGCTAAGGTAAGAAAGTATGTCATCTCTTTATTTGCTCGCTTTTTTTTTTTTTTTTTTTGTAGTTTTTGGATATGGGGCACACTTCTTTTTTGAACCTTTCCTTTAAAAATTAATACGTCAAAGAACATTTTAATTGAACTAACGGAATTTACGATATTGGCCAATAGAGAAAAAATATATTTTTTTCTTTAACCGCGTTCAAATTTACTTTGAAGTTAAATAAAAAAAATCGATTTTTAGCAATTATCTCATTAATGATTTATTATATTAATAAACTAGTGAACCACCCAATCCTTAAGTACTTAGACATATGGGGTGAGTGCTGGGAAAATGGACCAAATTGATTTTTTTTTTTAAAAAAAAGTTTCCAAGTAAAATAGATCATCTGATTCAGATCAT